TAATATGCATTTAGTACAAAAACACATTTTAAGCCGATTAATTTACATTCTGTGTATGCTGAATTAATTATTTTAGAAACACAATTATTTTCTAAATACGTTCCCATCATTTTGCAAAAATTTAGCATAAATGAATTAACATGCTTATATGTATTCAGCGGTTGTAATTACTCTACCATGTAATTTAATTATATAAGGTAATCAGAACATAGCAACTACAACCAGGTGGAAAAGTTGACGTGCTAAATAAATTTTTAAGTGATGCGTTAACATAAGTGAATGCTTTATATATAAGAATCCAAAAAAATAAAGGTGAAATATAACGTATCCGCCAGTAACACTCGAAATTCCTTTTGGGTAACAAAACGTATTCAGTACAGACTTGTTCGTGGCATAGACAATTCAGTTCAGCAAAACACACGCATCAGTCTGATGAACCTAATAGGAATTGCGTTGTGAGCCCAAACTTATTGTTTTTAGAAAGCCTAGAACTAAAAAAACTGTACCTTGTTCTCCACCTCCAAACCATCATCTTTATCAATACTCATCCTATATCTAGAATATAAACGATATATTGTGTTTCCTTCCTCAATTGATCATGAATCATTGACACCATGCTGAAGACAACAATAGTACAATGGTTTCAAGAAAGTAAAACAAAGAACAAAAGCCACTTTAAACATCGCTTTTTCGTGTTAGCCAATGAATTGTTGCAAAACCTACATGCTTCATTATCTCTGAACGTGAAATAGAAGTATTATATGACTTCTATTAATAGATATTGATTGCACGCACAACTAAACAGGCTTTTTACAAATTATTTTTTAGTTTTGAAGCAAACTCATAAAAACGTGAAATTAAATCCTTGGAACGTCAACAGTCCACATAATACCTTCATTGATTGATGTATAAGAAACTGCTGAAAGGCTTAGAACCCATACATACCACAAAAAAGCATATTATAAGACAAATGGCTACCAAGATTGTACTGCGCACATTACAACTTTAGTATTGTACTGGTGCCTATTCTGTTTTAGTACAATAGCTTACAAGAATCTTGTAAGCTATTGTACTAAAACAGAATAGGCACCAGTACAATAATAAAGTTGTAATGTGCGCAGTACAATCTTGGTAGACATTTGTCTTATAATATGCTTGTCAAGATGAATGCTCTACTGCAGCAAACGTTACACAACTTGACACCAGTGCATTCCATGGACGACAATGCTACACCGCTCCGCGACAAACAACGCTCCACCGCCCTGCGACAAACAACGCTTCACGATGAACAACACTCCACCGCTCCAAGACGAACAACGCTCCACCGCTCCGGGATGAACAACGCTGCACTGCTCTGGGACAAACAATGTTCCACCGCTCCGGGACGTACAATGCTCCACTGCTCCCGGAAAAACGGCGTCCCGCTGCTCGGCTCTGCACATCTCACTTCTTGCGGCCGCCGCGCTCCTTCACCTGCAGCTGCACGCGGCAGCCCGGCGTGAAGTTGTAGAAAGCGAGCGAGTTCGAGTCCTTGATGAAGAGCCCGTCGTACTGCAGCTTCTGCTTGCCCGCCGGCATCGAGATCGCCTCGAAGATCTTCGCCTTGATGACGGAGACGGCGTCCGACAGCGGCAGCGTGAACGTCAGCGCCTGCCCGTTCAGCTTCCACTCCGGCTTGTCGGCCATCTTGGGGATCATCACCATGAAGGGCACGTTCGGGTTCTTGCTGCGAGCGAGGAACTGCGCCTCGGGAACGAGGCTCTCCTCCGTGCGCGCCCGCTTCGACGCCGGCGGCTCGTCGTCCGGCGCCGACGGCGCGGCGCGACGCTGCTGCTGCTGCTGCTGCTGCTGCTGACCGTGCATCTGCATGTAGCCGGGGTGGTGCATGCCCATCGGCGGCTGCTGCTGCTGCTGCTGCTGCTGCTGCGAGCGCATCTGGTGCATCGCCATCATCTGCGACGGCTGCGGAGTCATCATCATCATCGGCGGCGGCCGAGACATCATCTGCGGCGGCATCGGCGGATGCTGCGGCAGCGGCGGACGCGACGGTGGCAGCGGCAGCGGCACGGCTTTCGGCGGCGGCAGCGCGGGCGGCAATTGCACGGGCGGCGGCTGCGGTTTCGGGGGCTGCGGCGGCAGCGTGATCGGCTTGGGGACGGGCGGCGAGGGCGGGCGCGGCTGCATGAGCAGCGGCGCGCGCGGCGTCTCCGACGGCCCGATCTTCTCCTTCTCCTCGTCCGGCAGCAGGCCCTTGATCTTGTGTATCGCGGCGATCTGCTCCTCGATGGTGATGTGGGCGCGCGCGGCGCGCGACGTCGACTCCATGCTCGCCGTGTGCCCGTCCCACGTCACCTTCTCGTCCTGCCGGTGCTCCTCCTCACCGATCTTCTTGCCGATCATAGTCTCCTCGCCTCCGACTCCGAAGATGTCCGTTCGCCGCTCAGCGAGGTGCTTCAGGCTCGACTCGATCGCGCCGCCGCCGGCGTACACCTCCTCCTGCAGGCCCGGCGCTGCCTTCTGCTTCTGCTCCTGCAGCAGCCCGATGCGGATGTGGCTCTGCATCTTGTGCGCGGGGATGCGCTCGCCCGTGATCGGCGAGATCAGCCACTGGTTCGCCGACGGCGGCGGCGCGACCGGCTTCCCGGCCTTCGGGTTGTAGTCCTTCTTGATGAGCGCCGGGTTGGGCAGCGGCGGCTGTGGCGGCAGCGGCGGCAGCACCTTCGGGGGCAGCGGCGGGGGCGCGAACGGCGACGGCGGGCGAGGGGGAGGCGGTGGCGGCCGCGGGTCTTCCTCGTAGTCCGACTGGTCTGAGTCCTCCTCCATGTCCTGCATGACGGTGTTGGCGCCGTGCGGCCCCGCCACGCCCCCTGGCGGCCGGTCCACCTCCACGTGCTCCACGGGTCCCTCACTGTCCTCGCTCCCCTCGTCGTCGCCGCTCGCGACCTCCATCTCGACCTCCGCGGCCGCCGCGCCGTCGCCAAACTCCTCATAGCGCTCCTGCGCGATGACGCGCATGCCGACGTCTTCGGGCGTCGTCGGCGGCGGGAAGTTTCCGGCCTCGCCGGGCCGGAAGTCCACCGTCTCGACGACGACGAAGTCGTGCCAGCCGATCTGCGCGTACGACACGCGCTCCTTCTCCAGCTGCTCCTCCTCGGCCTTCTTCTGCGCCTCGATGTGCCGCTGCCAGAGCACCTTGTAGCGGACCTGCTCGAGCACGTACTTCGTGCTGTGCGCCTGCTGGACGAGCTTCGTCCGCAGGTCCTTCGACGGGATGAGCACTTTCGTGTACTGCTCGACGAGCTTCGTGAAGTACGTGAAGAGGCTGTGCTGCGGACGCAGGAAGTCAAACTGGTAGTTGCGCTGCTCCTTGTTCATGAGGTTCGTGAGGAACTGACGGCCGTTGCGAGCGACGAACTGCGCGGTCAGCTTCACGATGTCGAGGTCGAAGGCCGAGATCGACGGCGGGTCGGCAATGAATTCGAAATCGGGCGGCGGGTCCTTGAGTTCGGACTCGAGTTTTGCGGCGTCGTGCAGCTTGCTCGGAAGCAGGCCCGATATTTTGATGAGGGGAACGACCGGTTCGGCACCTGTGGGAGGTTGCGAGACGAGGAGAATTTGTTAATATTATAAAAATTATGAACTATAAAACTATGGTAAAACTATAATTTTTAACTTTTAAACATATAAACTATAATTATGAACCTTTTAGTTGGCAACGGCACTCGAAAGAAACTGGCTGGTTTATCGTAGAACACTGATCATAGTATGCCAAGTAGAGGGTAACATACTACCTCTGCCCTGATTGAACTCTTCCATTTTATGTTGATAATAATCATGCTATGAATCAGAAAGCGGACAACAGAAACTGGCTAATTGAACATAAAATGTTAATCGTAGTATGACAAGTAAAAGGCAACGTACCACCTCTGCCCTCCTTGAACTCTTTCACCTTGTGTTGATAATAAGCATGGTATGGATCGCCTGGGTTTAAGAAATTAAACTTTGCATTCTGTATTTCATTTTGTCGAATCCGTGCTTCAAACTCGGGTCCATTCCTGGCCACAAAACTAGCGGTCTTGTCTACAATATTCCTGACCTGATAAAAAAACATTGTCACACATCACGAAAAAATTAAGGGAACAACTTCTAAACTGTCATCACATTTGCACTGCTGAAAAGAAATAGTTGTGAGCGAGTGCATGTGCACCTGTGTGTTTATGCATGCATTCACTTTACTAACATACGCATAACAAATTAGTTTTAAAAGCATAAAAGTTAGGTGATTACCTCTGGTGGTGGATAGATAATGCCTACGGTCGGCTCCTTGTACTTTTCCACCACCTCCTGGCTATTCTCTATCTCTAACGGCGGCATCTTGGTTCTGGCAGTTCAGGCTAATAACTCATTTACTTCTAAACCTGATACGGACTTGGTGCTCGAAGGCCAAAGGCCACAGTAATGTCAGTATCTTAAAAGTAAAGAGATAATTATTATTAATATTATATTATATTCATAATATAAACGTGTCATTAATGCCTAATGAGTAATGGCATTATTCAACAATGACAATGTCCATAAATTGTATGTGAAACTTTTAAGTTTTATGAGTAAAATATTACTAACATTTTAGTTACACTTTAATTATATTTTTTAATTATTTTTTTAACTTTAACTGTTACTAATATACTAGTTCTACTACTGTCAGTGTCAAGAACATTTTGCAGTGTGTTACACTGTTAATTATTGCTCTCTAACCCACAGGCACTTGGAACGTCTCAATAAAAAAAAGGTAAATAAACACGAAATGTTATAAAATGTTAATGTATGTTAAATGAAATGTTATAACGAGAGTTATAACTAGGGTTGGATTTTCAGGGGCAGTACGGCGATTGATAGGGGCACCGACGGCAATTGCCGTCGGCGCCGTCGGTTAATTCGAGCCCTGGTTATGCCAATATCAATTGACAATTTCTTAAAGCATACTATACATATATACTTACTCCGACGTCATCTACGAGCATTTTATCGAGTCCAACTGGTCCCAGTGAGCTCTTCACTATGTTGGCTATTGCCACGGCTGCCATCACTAAAGAAGATGATATAAACACAATAGATTGCCATTACAATTTACAGTATTTACGAGCCTCAACGAGAATGATGTCACACACACATGCCTACGTTCATTGACCAAAACAATCAAGTAGCACGGTTAGGGAGTTTCGGATGATAAACATACACTTCTTGCAATGATAGGCGAAAGAGAGTATAGAAAAACATTTAGACTTTGGTAGTGTTCATTTACCATCATTTCACTATACACCGATTGACAGTTCTGCGCCTATGTTCTGCGCCAGTAGTTTCGCATCTCCGCGAGAGCCCGGATGTGCGAGTAAACTCTGCCATGTTGTTTATCTCGATGCGTTATCTGCCTTGTATCTGCAGGTCGCTCACCTTTGTGTCGAAGAACAGTGCACGTAGCAGGGAATAGAACACCGATAATGGATGACCTGAATTACATGACACTTGATACATTTAAATTATGGTCAATGCATGCTCTAAAAGTCTTTCTTAAGCCAATACGATCCGTTTGAGCAGCCCTTCACACTACACGTTAACGCCATTGTTTCACACGAGTAAAGAATTTTACTCGCAATTCTGAGACGGAAACTCCTCCTGACCTTTGACCTTAGGCTTAGCGCATGCGCAGTGTTAAACTGTCAACCGGTGTATTGAAACATTCCAAGTGCCTGTTACCCGAGCCTGGTTTCTACATGTTTTGCTGTCTTCATGAGGCTATGAGGTTTTCACTTCTTTTTTTTAGGAATTCCCTGCCTTCTTATTTGGTTAATTGTAAAATTGAAACTCTTTTCTACTTCAACCTACAGGGGCAGTGCCAGTGTTGATCTAGTAGTACTAGTAATAGTAGTAGCAGGAGTAAGATA